CCATTTAACCTCCTTGTATCAATACTTTCATCACGATTCTTTGGCTATATAAAGCCTTGTGAGAGACATTAAAAAGACAACTCGAATAACACAGCCAAATCGTTTACAACAAGAGAAAAAGCCCTTTCCCCTTTCTCTAATAATAAGGTAAGACCTTTATAAAAACATTGATTACTCCAAAATAAATAAACAATAATTCAAAGTTGCTGAACTACGAGGCCCGGACTGAGCTACACGCCCTCCCAGATCGGGTGACGTATGTATACGGTATACACTTTAGTCTGAATAATTGAACTTCAGATCTGTCCGTGTCATCTTCCAGACAACAAAAAAGCGTTGTCAAAGTTTGAAAGGATTTGGGAGCTTTTCATAAGAAAAAGGGCTTAATTGCAAGTTTGGTCACCCGAATTGCTTAAAAATTTCACGTTTGCCACCCGAATTGATTTATTCCATTTATAGTCACTCGAATTAGTTCAACAGTCCAAGTTCAGTCACTCTCAGTTAACCTCCGTTAGAATCCGTTAATGACGGCCGTTAAGTGATGACGTGGCTAACGGAAAGACACAGTCAGCACATTTAAACATTAAAAAAAGATGACCCGACCCGACCCGCCAACTCAGCCTTACCCACCAACTCAGCCTTACTTGCCCAACCCAAGAACCAACCCAATTGATTCACCCTAAACCCAGACCCGAGACCCAACTCAGCCCTAAAATTAAATCGCAGATGGATTAGGGAAATGCCCTAACTCCATCTTCATCCTCTCACCCGCGACTGCTGTTCTTCCCACGACTGCTGCCGCGCCGTCGAGAATCGCCGTCGAAGGGATGGAGGCCGCCGCCGCGCCGGCGCCCTGAATCCCTCACCAGCGACTCTTCTTCTTCGAGCGTGTCTGTTCTTCCCCCTGCCGCGACGCGCGCTGGCATTTTCCCCCCAAATCGAGCGCTGCTGTTCTTCGCATGCTGGTGTTTCCCCCCCAAATCGAGCGGTGCTGTTCTTCGCGCGCTGCTGTTTCTCTCCGGCCGTCTGTTCTTCCCCCTGCCGTGGTCTGTTCTCTCCTCTTTTAAAGGTAAAACTCACCTGCTTCCCCTCTTCTCTCCTCTCCTCTTCTCTATTCTTCGCTTTTATAACCCGACGCGTAAAGTAAGAGTTGTCGCTGTCCTGGGGCAAGGGGAATCTTTTGGGGCCGGAACTTTACCTTTCTTTATACTGATGGTGGAGTTTTTGTCACTTTTTCCAGCTCAGCCTTCACCATGGTGGGTCATGTGCGTGCACCAAATGCGCCCCAACCAAAATATGGTGAGTCAACTATCCCTGAAACAGCTCGCCTTTATTGCAGTAAAGGACAACAGTTTGTTGTTTTTTTCGAATTGAAAATTAGTGTTTGTGTGGAATAGCAAAACCAGCAGCATGTGTGAAGTGGTTCAGATGTCATTTTCATGGCTTTTAATACTAGTTGTTGGGTTAATGAAGTTAGACTTTAGCATCTGCCTTTTACTGCTTTGTCATTTTAATTAATCATTCTCTCTTTCGTTCTTTGCAACAGGTGCTTCTAGTGGAGAGTTCACGTTTGAAGTGCACTTATCAGAATCATTGAAGAAGAAGGGTGGCAAGCATTTTCTGGATGAGAAGTCTACAGTCTACTGGGACTATGCAGATATTGATGAGTTATCAACGCTTGATCTGCCTGACATATACAAGGCATGTGGAGGGAAGATTGGCAAGCCGAAGTTCTTCTGGAGCACTCCTTCAACTGATGCTATGTCAGAGATCACGTCAGATGAAGATATACTCGCCATGTCAACAAGTGCAAATGAAGATGCGAGGGTCATCGAACTATATGCCATATCGGAGGAAGACATTGCTGAGATCATGGACAGTGATGAGGACGAAGATGGAGGTGCCACCAAGAGTAAAAAGGGTAAAGAAGTTGCTGGTCGTGAATCGGATTATGAGGAAGAAGATGATAGTGATTATGAGGCTAGTGAAGAGGAGGACTTTAGCAGAGCTGACAATCTGCATTTTGAAAGAAGCGTAGCCGCAGATGTAGAAGCTGATCTCTACACCGAAGAAGACGAAATTGAGAAGTGCAAGAAGACTATTTTAGAGGCAGAAGAGGGTTCAGATGTCGACTCAGACGATCGAAGGACAATTTGTAGCTCAAATGAAGATGAGGACAGTCACCAGGTGGAGGAGTTTCGAGCTGAGAGAGACATGGAGAGTCCTACTTTCGCAGTTTCGCAAAGATTCAGCAGTTTCGACGAGTTGAAAGAGGCCATAAAGCAGCATGCATTTGTGGAAAAGCGCCCCATTCGTTTCAAGAAGAACGACAAGAGGAGGCTGCAAGCAGTATGCGCTGATCCATGTGATTGGTATATATGGGCCTCCAAGATGATTCTGACAGATGCAGTACAGATCAAGAAGTGCAAGCTACAGCATTCTACAGATTGTCGGAGGACATTTAAGGTGAAGTTTGCAACTGCCAAGTTTCTGGGTGATAAACTTGCTGGGAAGATGGCAGCAGACAAGAAGATGAGCAAGGGGCTGCTCAAACAGATATGCAAGGAAGATTTTAAGGAAGATGTATTGGATTCAAAGGCATGGAGGATTCGAAGGGCTGCTCTTGAGAAGGTTAGGGGCAGTTTTATAGAGCAATTCCGAGGGCTATACCACTACGCCGAGGAATTGAGGAGGAGCAACCCAGGTTCTACAGTGATCATCGAGCAGAGAAATCAGCACTTTGATCGGATGTATGTATGTTTCCAGGCTTCAAAAATGGGTTTCAGGGCTGGTTGCAGGCATGTCTTGGTTATTGATGGCTGATTTTTGAAGCATGAGTATGGAGGTCAACTCCTTTCGGCAGTGGGTATTGATGCAAATGATCAGTACTTCCCAGTAGCCTTTGCTCATGTACCTGTGGAGAATAAAGAGAATTGGGAGTGGTTCTTGGAGCTCATCTCTAGTGACTTGGATGTTAGGGACAATCCCGGATGGACTTTCATGTCCGACAAACAAAAGGTATGCTTTCTATTGATTTATTCCTTGTTTTTGTGCTTACAATTCTCGGCTGTCCAGAATTTGAATTGTGTGTTATTGGTGTTTTAGGGACTAGTGCCAGCTCTCGATGGACTCTTCCCAGCCTGTGAGAAGAGGTATTGTGCAAGGCACTTGTGGACCAACTTCAAAGGTGCTTGTGGGGGGTCCCAAAACATGAAGAACCTGTTCTGGGCAGCAGTTAGAGCGGAAACGGTTCCTGAATTTCGCAACCAAATGCAAGCCCTATCAGAGTACAACAAGGCAGCCTATGATTGGTTGATCGACAAGCCATTCTACCATTGGACAAGGTCACATTATCAAACCCTCTGCAACTCTAAGATTCATACGAGCAATTTGGTGGAGAGCTGGAACAATGTGATTATAGAAGAGAGGGATATGGGTCCTGTATGTATGTGGGAGGGGATCAGAAGAAACTTGATGGTGTTATATGCCCACAGAAGGGAAATGGTGGAGAGATGGACATCTATGTTCACTGAGAAGATTGAGAAGGAGCTAGATGAGACTACTGAAGAAGCATTGAAGTGGTCAGCAGAAAGTAATGGGAACGGACAATTTGAGGTGAGGTGGCACAGCCACCAAGTTGTGGTCAATCTGAAGCAGAAGACATGTACATGTAGACATTGGGAGTTGACCGGCATTCCGTGTTCACATGCTATCACTGCAATCAGGAAGGCAAAGCTTCTGATCAAGGACCATGTTGCTGATTGCTACATGCGGGAAACAGCGGCGAAGATATATGAGTTCTCCATTTCACCTACTAATGGCAAGGAGTATTGGCCAATTTCTGAGTTGGGGGATTGTGGAGTCCCTCCAGTTGCAAACTCGAAAAAAAGGGGCAGACCAAAGAAGCAGAGAAGAAAGGGACTTGATGAGGATGAGAAGGGGAAGAAAAAACAGAAGAAGGGTGAAAGGGAATCATCAAAGCCGGAAGGAAGGAAGTACGCGTGCACCACATGTGGGGTAGTTGGGCATACCAAACTGTTCCATAATGAAGAAAGGAAGAAACAGGTGGAGGAAAGGAGACAGGCTAAGGAACTGGCTAAGGAAGAAGCTAAAAGGAAGAAACAGCTGGAAAGAGCGGAAAAAAATCGATTGGCAGCCATACAGAAGCAGCAACAGAGGGCTGCAAAAGCAGCTGCAAAAGCGCCAATGAGTCAGCCCAACACTGTCCAGCTCATGCCAGATGTATATATTTATTTAATTTTACAATTTTGCTTTCTAATCAAGTCCTACCATCTTCTAATGTTGCTTTAACTTTGCAGGGAACTACTAGGAGGCCACGGATTGAGGCATCACAGCAACTCAGCCAAGGATGTGGAGGATCGCAAAATGCAAGCCAAGTGACTCAAGAGTGAAGATTAGTTGCAGTTTAGGTCCAAATGATAATTACCATTTTGAAGCCTCCAATTGGCTAGGAAATGTAAACGTTTGAATGTTCTCCTTTGCGTATTAGCTAGCCTATTAGGTCAAAGTGAATTGCTATTTTGGAAAAACACTGTCGAGGCTATAATTATCATTTGGACCTTGTAAGACTAAGTTTTATGAAAGACTATCAGGTTTATCAATCTTCCAGTACATTGGAAGGTTCTTTTGCACAAATACGTGCCTTAGTTGTCCATTTATGCACCTATCTGTGAGTGACCAAACATGGTTCGAGTTATCAATTCCAGTGACCAAACATGAAACAAATTCACAATTCAAGTGACCAAACATGGAATTGAATTAGCAATTCAAGTGACCAAACATGTTTTGAATTAGCAATTCCAGTGACCGAACATGAAACAAAATCGCAATTTAAGTGACCAAATGTGGAATGAATTAGCAATTCAAGTGACCAAACATGTTTCGATTTAGCAATTCACAATACCATACATGGAATAATTGAGCACTTCACTAGCTACACATCAACAGATTACAACACCTACAACTACACAGACGACTTATCACTTTCCTATCCAAAACAGAAAAAATACAATAGCTCCTAAAATGATGAACGACACCATTTTCCGATCAAACTTGGACACCTCCTTGTTTTGCCTCTTCTCTAGCTCCCGAATTCGACGATGAAAATTTAGCAACACATTTCTCATATGCTCATCAAGGGCTGGGTCAAGCCATCTGAAGTAGTTACATGCTCCATTTGTCGACACACCATCGACAGAAAAAATAGAAGGATGAAAAAGGCGGCATAATAGTCGAATTGTAACACTAAAAAGGAAACAATGGTGGATGAACCTTACCCCATATCTGCTGCATCCATAAAACCTTCTTCCTGGATTCGCCTCAGTCCAGCTCGTCTTTAGATCTGTTGGCTCTCCACAGTGACAGAAGGGAGCCGCCATTGGTAGAGGTGAAGTGAGAGGAGGAGGAAAGGAAGAGATGGATGGGGATGAGGCGATTCTCGCAAAGAGGAAGAGAACAGATGGTTAGGGATTCATTTCTGAGGGGGTAGACTTATATGAGAGGGCTGGATTAAGGCTGAGTTGGGTCTCGGGTCTGGGTTTAGGGTGAATCAATTGGGTTGGTTCTTGGGTTGGGCAAGTAAGGCTGAGTTGGCGGGTAAGGCTGAGTTGGCGGGTCGGGTCGGGTCGGGTCGTCTTTTTTTAATGTTTAAATGTGCTGACTGTGTCTTTCCGTTAGCCACGTCATCACTTAACGGCCGTCATTAACGGAGTCTAACGGAGGTTAACGGAGAGTGACTGAACTTGGACTGTTGAACTAATTCGAGTGACTATAAATGGAATAAATCAATTCGGGTGGCAAACGTGAAATTTTTAAGCAATTCGGGTGACCAAACTTGCAATTAAGCCTAAGAAAAAGGAATCCGGCAGAAATTTAAGAATTCACAGATCGCACTAGCTAGGTTTTAACCTTTTTAGATTAAATATTAGTTTCGAGTTTTGGATAATAATTATAAAAATTCCAGTAGGTTAGATAAATGAGGATTTGAAACCAACTTTGTTACTTGTTAGTGTTCAATCAACAACCAATTATTATTATATATAAACTTGAATCCAAATAGGTTTTCATTGGGGTTGTGGTATTTGTTCACCTATTTTTTTCAGTTTCCCATTTATTACCATCATATAATAATAATGTCAAATCAAAATAAGTTTTCATTGGGGTTGTGGTATTGGAGTAATGTGTTTATTTTTGTTGTTGGCTCTTTCTATATATTTTATTTTATAAAAATCTTGGCTTTATGTATAATAATATTATCATTAAAATACAATATGGGTAGAGATGGTAACAAGTCGGAGTCAGATAATACATATATATTTTCCAACCCAAAATAGTTCGGGTTTTACACATATCCATACCCATATAAGTATCGGATAGAATATCAAACCATACACATTCCTTATCGGGTTTCGGCTATCCATGGATAATGTTAACAACTCTTCATGTACCGACATTATATAAGTGACAAATCACAACAATAAATTACTGAAATGAAGAAACTTAGTGAGAAAAATACAAATTCTTGAAAACATTATATATGAATGATAAATATGAAATATGTTAAAAAAAAGTAATGATAGTTTTTAAATAAAATACATATGCATGTGTATAATCAGACACTAAGCAAGTGCTAATGACAGTGGTTCACACAATCCACTAATATTTTTGAGCCTAACCCCATGGGGCTGGGTTTACAATGCGAAGCTTTTAGAAAAATGTATGTGTCACATATGTTTGAAGCCCAACCCGTGATTGTTTCGGAATTCTATATATTTTTAAGCGAGCGGATAAAGTATAAAACTTTGGCCTGCAAAACCCGGTCGTATCATCATATCATGATTCACGACATCGTGATACGATGATACAATACACCTAACTAACATGTAAAATTCCCTCTTATCGTAAGCAAACTAATTGGCCATTTTGGATGAAAAGACATGATATAGTTGTTTTGTTATATCTTGATACTTATTCGACATTTTTGTTCATTTTATTGCTGGCCCTAATATATGTGAGCACTTTAATAATAACAAAAAATGGTTCAACACTTCATCTCAATCCCGCAGTAGAACGCGGGCGGCATTCCCTAGTATCATATAAAAAAAGACCAATTATCTCTCCGTCTCTACTGAACAAATCTTGTAATTTTTATACATAGGTAGTAACTATCCATCATATAATTAAAACACTCTAAGAATACATCTTTTAAAATTTCTTGGTTATAAGTTGAATTCATATTTTTTTTATCTACCATTAGAAAAATTGGTCAAACAAATAAAAACAAATTGTATTCATTTGTCCATTTGCTTCTCAAGTTTACACTTTAGTTGCTACAACAAGTGTAACATGTGAGATGAACAATGGTTTGGTCTAGCGGTTCTATCGCTAGTCTTCAACTTGAAGGTATCATATTCAAATTCCTTAAGTAGCATGTAATAATATAAAAAAGGGTTAATATTTTTGTATGGCCTGAACTTTGACCAAAATAAACATTCTGGCCAATCTTTTCGATCTATAACATCCTGACCCGAACTATACACCAAAATAAAAAATTTGGCCAGATCCGACTTTTGACCGTTAACTTGGACGGTCAAACGCGTTGACCGTTAGTCAACGCGCCATGTCACTGCCAAGTCAGCATAAAATATTTAAAATAATTCACAATTTCCACACATTCCCTAATTTTAAATTATTATAAATTAAAAAAAATCATCTAATACCTCAGTTAAACCAAAAATAAATAACGAAAAAAATTAAATATTTATCAGATCTTCTGACTTGGCAGTGACGTGGCGCGTTGACCGTTAGTCAACGCGTTTGACCGTCCAAGTTAACGGTCAAACATCCGGTTTCGCCAAATTGTTTATTTTGGTGTATAGTTCGGGCCAGGATGTTATAGATCGAAAAGATTGGCCAGGATATTTATTTTGGTCAAAGTTCAGGCCATACGAAAATATTAACCTATAAAAAACTAACATATATGACTCTCATAAGAAAACCAACAAGTGAGCCGTCCATGAAATATATCAAGAACGATCATCGAAACCGAATGAGTGATGAGTGATTGAACGATACGTTGGTAAGATATATTTTTTAAGAGCATTGGTAACACATGTTGAACATTATTTATTTGCTAATTCGGACAAGAAATCTGTTTTACATTGATTTCGGAATATGAAATTTCGTCGCAATTCATTGTAAGCAGTGTTTACCCAACCATTCTTCAGTAACTACACGAATATTGAGTATTATGTTTTTACTTTTTATTTTGTTAGAGTTAACTTTTATATAGTTGATTTTTTAAGGTATTAAAAAAAGAATTCCAACCAATTTTCTGACTCAGTCACTAAACTTGTTCCAAATTTTTTTTAAGTGTTCTAATGTAGAAACTAGACTCAATGGAGAGTTCAGGTTTTAATTCTCGACATTTGAAAGTTGTAATAATAAAAGTGATTTTATGAAAGGTAATGTAGGAAGATAAAGAAATTCCAATTTATTTTTATATTCCTTTTTCATAACTTATATATTTAGATTAGTTTCATAACTTATATCTTTAGATTAATCAAACAGTTGACATTGGACAAATAAGAAATTTAAAATGAACGTTGATTTTCTTGGTGATAGTTTAGTTATTTACATTGAAGTAAAATAGTAAAAACTATAGTATGTTAGAGCGGGACAGGTTACGGTGATTACTACAAAAGTAGTAATCATCGTGGTTACTAAGGGTAAATTGGGTATGAAAAATAACTTGTATTAATTATTTTTTTTAATAAATTACATTTTAGGTAGTTACAAGAATCTATTAATTACAATTTTCTCTCTTTCTCCCACTTCCATAATCTCCAGCCAGATCCCCTTTCCTTATTTTTCTCAATCTTTCTGCAAAAGAAAAAACACAAAATCACTACCAATCCATTAGACAATCACTATCATTTCGAAAAATATCAATACCATTGCAGAAATAAATATATACCATTACACGAAAACTACCAATAATATAAACAATCTATATCATTATAAAAGTCAAACCAATACCATTGCAGAAATAAATCAATACCATTAAGAAAAACAAAACTACCATTTGATAAAATGAAACAAATAAACCAGTACCAAAAAAGTAAACCCAGATCTAGAGCCTCTTGAGAGAGAGAGAGAGAGAGAGAGAGAGAGAGAGAGGAGGAGGAGGAGGAGGAGAGACCTTGGTCGCTGAGTGAGAGAGAGAGGCTGTGGGAATAGAGGAGGGTTGGGAGGGTGGAATGGAGAAGGGTTGGGGTGGGGCGGCGGGGGAGGGGAGGAGGGATTAGGTGGGGTGGCGGGAGGGTGGTGGTAGGAGAGTATGAGATGGGAAGAGGGATGGGGTGGGGCGACGGCCGGCGGAGGCAGCATAAGAGGGTGGGTGAGTTGCAGTAGAATTAGAGTTTGGTTACAATATATAGAGTAATCAGGTGTGATACTTTTTTCATTTCCAAAATTACCTTTATTATAATTTTTACCGTTAATTTAAAAATATCTTAAAATAAAGATAATGAAGGGTGAAGATTTTGGTAGCCACCGTGATTATAGAAAATTAGGTAACCATGCTAACCCATTCCATGATAGAGCATCAAGTACTTTTAAAATAATTATAGGGATCATTTGGATTGAGTATTTGAAAATTTTGTTATTTGGGGTCAATTATCTTACAAATACAATATAACATAGAACTTGTTATTTGACAAATACCTGCCCGACCAAGTATTTGACAAATAAAACTATAAATTATTATATGCAATATTTTTAGTTAATTATTTCGTGTCTCAGACCTCAAAATTCTAACTCTGTCCCTACATCCAATTATATTCGTTTGATTTTACGGCTTCTCATATGTTCTTCTGAATAAAATCTATCTTTTTATAGGTTTTCTTATTTTGCTCGGGTCATTCTAACTCTGTCCGGCTGTCCCCTCAGATGCAAACTTCTTCTTCTCACTTTGTGTCTTCTTCTTTCTTCTCTCTTTTGGATTTAGTAGATTCATAATCGACGATTACATTGTCGTCCATTTGGCGGAAAAATCAGAGCTTCTCGTCAGAGGTAGCCTTCATCCTCGAAGAACAAGAAACATGTTTCCGTCAATAAGAAAGTGGATTTTTCTGGTAGTATACAATTATATTTTACAAAAAAAAAAAAAGAGCTATATTTGTCATTAATTGGTGTCAAAGTTTTGCTGCACAAATATATTGACAACTACAACGTGGTTGACAAGTGACAAAGTTATCTCTATCTAATATCTATTAACCCCTCACATGAGTCTGTTAAAAACCAAAATCGTCGTGGTGGTTGTAATGGGATGACTATATTTATCCAACAAAAAATCTTTGAGATAAATGAAAATTATAACAAAGATAAAAATTTATAACTCTACAAGTGCATTTTAGCTTAAAAAACATATGATGGCGAAGAAAAAAAGAACAGAGTCCTAACATATGACGGACACAAACACACAAAAACAGAGCTGAAGATCTACTGCCTAACCACCCGACCCTAATGAAATAATCCTCGCAAATTAACCCCCCGCCATTTTCAGAATTTTTTTTAATCTCCCCCACAATATAATTCTTTACTCGAAAAAAGAAATTCAACTCAGTCTGGTTAGGTAAATCATCTCAAACTCTCCCCGGGATTTCCACCATATAACCAAATCTACTCTCTTCCTTCTTCTTCCTCCTCTCCCTCTCCGTCTTGCCATAAACTTCGCAGCCCAGAAAGCCATTCACGGCGTAGAACCGGCGGCGATGGGTGCAGTCAAGTCCGCGATCGGGGATGTCGTGCTGACATTCTCATGGATGTTCGTATCGTCGATGTTCGGTTTGTTCACGAGCCAGATAGCCCTCGCGCTAGGCGTTGAGAAGATATTTTGGGCCTCAATTTTCATCACCACCCTCCTGATTTGTTTCTTCGTCTTCGTGTTTGCTTTCATCGCCGAATTCTTGGGTGGTGCCAGTTTCAATCCCACTGGTAACGTCTCTTTCTACGCCGCTGGTGTAGGTGGCGACTCTCTTTTCTCCCTCGCTCTCAGATTCCCTGCTCAGGTGAAATTCTCTTGCTTCTTTTTTTTGGGTTTCTCAATCTTAATCTGCTTCCTTGGTAATTCTGTTTTTGAATTCTGTGTGAAAAGATGGGAGCTTTCGGATTCGATATTGGATGCCTGCCATACTTTGTATTGATCTTGATTTCGGTTTTGTTTCAGTCCCATTGTTGGCTATAATGGCAACTTTCTGTGAGAAGAACAAAACATTCTGTGATTGATAGTTGTTTTCTGTTGATGAATGTGAAATGAGCCCTATGTCAAGGGCTGATGAGAATATATAAGCCTGTAGTATATAATGAGTTGTTCTCTGCAAAAGGATCGCAATAGGTAAAAGCAATGCAGTCAAAATCGCGCTTTAAAGCTTGCGTGTTCTGTTTTCAGGCAGCAGGTGCTGTGGCAGGTGTGTTAGCAGTAATGGAGGTGATGCCATATCAATACAAACACATGCTAGGAGGGCCAAGCTTGAAAGTCGATGTGCACACTGGCGCCATTGCCGAGGGTGTCTTGACCTTTCTAATTAGCTTTGCTGTTCTTGTGATAATCATCAAGGGTCCTCGAAACATGCTAGCGCAAGCGTGGTTGCTTGCTGTTACGACTGTCTCAATGGTTGTTGCTGGGTCTGGTTACACTGGCCCCTCCATGAATCCTGCCAATGTGAGTATCCTTCTTAGTTCTTTCGATCTTGTTTTTGTTTTATAAAAGTTTCGTACTCCTTAATGGATGTTGTGATGTGGTAGTATTTTGGAGGTCCTTCAAGGATGCTGTACTTTGTGGGATATCGAATCTTCTTGACCCAAAACGCTTAAACTTCTAATCATTTTACAGGCACAAATAGTCTCATTTGTAGTAACATTGTTGTTGGAGTTGCATAACACAAACAACCTTGAAAGAAAGCTACAATGAGACGCTAACATATTTTCGATTCAATACAGAGGACTTCTCTGTCCAAGATTCAATGCCAAAGTGTAGACTGGTTGAGGCTTGTAGCTTCTTGTATATGTTCAAAATGCAATTTCCGATTTCCTGACTTTGCACTTGATTGTTTCTTCTTCGTCATGTTTGTCATGGAAGGCTTGGCATTTCTTGGGCGCTGATTTATTCCATTTCCTTGTATTCTGCTCTTACTAATTTGATTAGACGAAGAATATACTTTGTATATCTGCAGAGTATGATTTTTTGGAAGCATAATTCTTGATGGGATGTTGCTTTTTTAAACGAGGGGCCACAGCACATTCAAAAGGAGCGTTTGTAACTGTGGAAAGGGTTAAGGTTAAAATATTTGAGATGGACTCAAGAAAGCAAGTTAGAAACTCATGCCATCTTTGGGTGTAATTGTCATGGTCCATCATGCCCAAAAGTGCTATGGTGAAAATGACCTTGGACGAGGGTTTCCTGTCGTTATTCCTGCACTCTAAACTGCTCATGATCATCTGTTGCTTGTGGGAATTAGCATGGATTACTGATTCTATGCATGATATTCGCTGCAACGAACGATATCTACCATACAGCTCCCCAGCTCCGCTGTGAAAATGGATGCTATACTTATTATGTATGCATGGCTAATTTGTGCATTGGTCGGTGCAGGCATTCGGATGGGCATATGTGAACAAGTGGCACAACACATGGGAACACTTCTATGTATACTGGATCAGTCCCTTTGTGGGAGCAATATTGGCTGCTTGGATGTTCCGACTGGTCTTCCCTCCACCGGCAGCTCCCAAGAAGAAGACGGCCTGAGAAAACCCAGAAACAGAATGCCCAGACTTTGGCTGGTAGGTAGTTAGCAGGGTGGAGGTTTAAAGTATAATAATTTAAGAACGACTTGGATGTCTCCGCTTGATTACAGGTCAATTCTTCTTCTTTGTAATTTTAGCAGCAGTGGCATCTCTGTCCATTTCATGTTAAAGGTTCTTCACCCTTTGTTATAAGACTTGGTTTGATTCTGATTCCAACGATCCAAGGGTCCCTATGTTCTCAGATGTGATCCACTTCATGATTGTTTTATTTCAATCCTAAAGTTGAAGGATTGGCTTTCTTTCTATTGGCGGGGAATCGAATCCAGCCTTTTCCCGTTGTCTCTATATGCTGCAACATTCCCCACTACGGGCTCTGTTGCTCAATGCAGGTGGGCGTTTCACTATAATATTGGCTGTGAGCCTGTGATGTTACACTAGCTCTAGCTCGTTGATCCATTCAGTCGGTCAAGTTGGTTCGAATTCATTCTAATTATCTAATATGATATTTGACCAAAAAACTGTAGCAGCTTGATTTTTAAACTTTGTTTACTTTTACTTAAATCGTCCTAACTTATTAGTTAAAATTATTTTTGTACTCCTTTTTTATTTTTTTGTTCTTGGAAGATATTGAACACAATACACAAAAAGCACCCTCTTTCTCATTAGTTTATAACCTGACCCGTTGGCCCCAAATATTTATATTTTCATATTACGTTTAAGTCTATCAATTCGTTTAATTTCATTGACAATTTTTCGATTGAGATGACACATAAAAAAAAGAAGATATATGTCTAACATTTGAACAAATATTATCATCATTTAAGAATATAAACCATTGATCCCATTGGTTCGTGTGGGCGCAAACTATTGTACGATGGAGGTCAAACTATCTATTGTTTGTGTGGGCGCAAACTATTGCACGATGGAGGGAATTTCGGAGGAAATTAGAAAGAGATAAGAACAAAGATAAAAAAGTACTAAATTTAAATATAAATGAAAAAAAATTCAAAGACACAACCCGTAGTAATAGAATTAGTTTCTTCCATGTTAGCCAATTACCAATTTACCTTTAGTGAAAAGGAGCAGTAATTTTAGAATTGAAAACTACATGAAACTCTTACTCTGCTATGAAAATTGTAGTATCAAGCACGGAAGCACCATAAAAATACATACGGTAGACTTAGTGGGGTTGCTAATCATGATGGAAAAAGTCCTTCGATTTTCAAAGTTTCACTTCGTGTATGTTTTGTATTAAAGAAGAAACAACAAATTTGTTTAGTGTAAGTAATTGTGATTGTTGTCTTTGTTAAAAGAGACCTAGATTCAAATCATGATATTGATATTTTTTATATATAATAAATAATGAATTGTAAAGACAAAAATGCCCTTCCTACTTTCATTCTCATTGCAGGAACTTTTTTTTTTTTTACAAAAGATAATCATATATTGATTTAACAAAGATAGTTACATCCTGGAATTCAGCCATGCCTGAAAATCAAAGAAACGGCTCGTAGTCGGGTACAAAGACAGAGCCTTTCTAGCCACCAAATGAGCTACCCTATTGCGACTCCGACCTACAAATCGTATACTGAACCCCGCATGCAGTGCAAAACTCTGAACAACTTCTTCCAGAATAGTCCCCATCTGGTTGTCCCTGGTATCACCTCGCAAAATCTTATCAATCACGACTTGGGCATCACCTTCAAACCTCCTTTCCGAGAATCCTTGGCCCAAGGCCCAGGAAATAGCCTCCCGAAGGGCAAGTAATTTCACCACCATGAGATTATCAACGCAAGGGAATTGAACTCCTCGCACCGAAAGAACCTCTCGAGCATGGGTCATGATAACCATCCCGCCAGCCGCATAAGAGCCTCTCTTGGTGGCCCCATTCCACATACAAATAGCCACCAGAGGCTCCACCGGAGCCTCTTATTGCAGGAACTTTGAAATAGAGAAAAGTAAACAAAACTCTACTATATTTTATTGAAGGATTGCCACCACTTAGGGGTGTACATGGGTCGGGTGGTTCGGGTTTAACCATTTTAATCACCCGATCCATGCACTACGGTTTGAAAATTATCAAACCCAAACCCACCCAAAAAAATTAAAACCCTACGGTTTGTTTCTAATTGGGTTGGGTCGGGTTGGCGATATTTTTAAGTAAAAACCCAACCCAACATAAAAATATATAATTATTATACATCATAAAAATATTTTATAACTAATTAAAATTTCAAACGAATAAACCGAGGTGAAAGCTATCACAATTCAAAATTGTTGTTTGAATTTTAATAAAATGTGATTTACTTCAACATATGTCTAGTTTTTTTCACGATATTTGTTGAAATAGGCTAAAAAGGTTATAAACAAACGCATCCATAATATGTTATTCTATTAAAATTGTACACAAGAAAAAGGATTACGTGAATCATAACTATACTCAATTTATGTCTAAACTTTAAGTCGAAGAATGCATTAGATTAGGGAGACCATGATAGAAAAACATGGCGAAATATCTTAATTTTCTCATAAGTATTGCTATATACGACATAAATATTTTTTAGATACGAACTCATACTAATAGTTGGAACACGGGTTGGGTCGGGTTCTACGGGTTGTGTAATCCAAAATCCAAACCCAACCCAAAAGAGGCGGGTTGTACAAAAGAAAACCTTCACCCAACCCAAAACCTTCGTTTTAGCGATAAATACGGGTGGGTTGGGTCGGGTTGGACGGGTGGGTCGGTTTGCGGGTGTGTTTGTTCACCCCTACCACCACTTGTCGCCTCCGTCATTTGGCTAATGACCGCTAGCGTCACTTATTGCCTAGCCACTCACTACTGCTTGCCATTTTGGTGACAAGTTATAAAAGTAAAAACTCGACGGATAATCTAATATACTAAACCTAACTAAGTATACCTTGATTTAATGGCGTAGCATAGGGTTGACCTTCAAAGTCATATTTCACCCAATTAAGCATTAAGAGAGGGCCATAGCCCCCAAGCCATTTCATCGTACATTTAGTGGACATTGGACATACTTTGCCCAAGTGCAATTTGAATAATTTAGTCCACCAAGCCATAACCAATTTGCATTACAAGAATTTAACAAAGTTCACAATCATCAAATCATCAAAGAAACAGAACTCCTCCCCCTATTTTTGTGAAAGAATCCACAAATTCAAATGTAACCTAAAACTCAAGTTTTCAAGAAAAATGAAGAATGTGGTACATAATCAACTGGAAAACCGAAGAAAGGGAGTGAGGAAAGGTATTAAAGATTTAGTATAGTGGTGTAAATAGTATGTGGTTGGAGAAGATGGATGGTAGCGAGTGAGGGTTGGGTTGAATGGAGAAGAAGAAGAAAATGTTGATTTGGGATTTTTGAGGAATAGGGTGATAGAAACCTATTTCTAGGGTTCTATCAATTGCGTTGAGAAATTGGGGATTGATGGAGATTTTAGGGATTGAGAAGAGATTAGGGATAGAGATTGAGAATTTGGGGAAGAAAAGACAAGAATGGCCGGCGGCCTAGGTAGAGGTGAAGACGAGGTTGAGAGGAGAAGATTAGGATTTTGGAAGGGATAACTTTCTTATTAATTTCTGTTTAATTAAACAAAGATCCAAAGTACACATTTATAGCTAACGACTGAAAAAACCTAATGGACTATCCTAATATAACTCAAAGACTACTAACCATATCTATTAATATCCTAATAAATACTATTATTGATAATTATGATATAACCCAGAAATTAGTTTTCTATCACAGGGCGACCGAGAGGTGTTTAAATTTGAAAGGTGTTGAGAGGAGGGAGGAGCACGCGTTGACCATATGTTTCAGTCAAGATCAAAGCTTGGATAACAGATTCACGATTGGGAACAACTGAGAGCACGATCGTGAACTTAAGAGATCACGGTCGTGATCTTAAGCTCAGGCTTGTGATCCTGATCCCTGTTCATGCCTTAGCCAATTTTTCAAACACATTTAAACTCTATACCCCACATCTCACATACCACACATCCACATCTCAATTTCAAGCATTCTAAGACATTTCTTGACCCCAAATACATTTTGATGCAAATTCACATTCACACTAGAAGAAAACAAAAGGAAAAGAATAAGAAAATCAAACCAAAGAGTTGGGTTGCCTCTCAATAAGCGCGTAAGGTCGTTTCACCCGACTCCATTGAAGTGGATGGCTAAGTGAAGATAGAAGCTATCTCTAACTTCTTGGTCACATCATCGATCTCACTTTTGAAGTACAAACCAAGGTGATGACTAAGGATGCTGTGAAGTCATCAATCACAAGTGGCAACCTCAAGTATCCCATTTCGTGATGTTGTCTTAGTGTAAATCAAATCGAGGGGAGACTCCCATGACATCTTCTCGAGAAGTGCAAAATATCTTTCAAACTCTTCTCCACTTACATGAAACTTTTCCTTCCATATTTCCAACTTATTGTTTTCTTTGCTTTTCTCGTGTGGAAGGCAAGGCACAATGGTAAAGTTGACATGGACACCTACGCGAGGAGAAGGCTTCTCCAAGTCTTTGTTATCCATGTGAGCAACCATATAGAATTTTTCATTACTCAACTCTACCTTAGGGACGTTCGATGAGGGACACGCATATTTATCATCTTGATAGGCATGTGGATAACATGTTCCTTACCACCAAACATCCATATCAACCTTTACCTAGGCACACCAATTGTGGTTTTGGTCGTGGCAAGAAATGGTCTCTCTAGCATGAGCGGTGTATTTTCACCCTCTTTAACGTCTAGTACCGCAAAGTGAATAAGAAAGGAGAACTTTCTCACTCTTAATAGGAGATCATAAACTATGCCTTTAAGATGAATTGCATAATGATCGGATGATCGGATAATCGAATAGGCGTGGTAGTAGGCCGAAGTTCACCCAAATTAAGTTTCATGAACAATTTAAAAGAACTCACATTTATGCTTGTTCCTAAATTGTCTAATGCTCTATCTACATTCATGGTGCCAGTGTAGAAAGTTCATTGATACACCTAGTGTTAGGGGTGGGCATTGGTGCGGTCCAAACCACTCCGCCCGCTCCAAATCACTTATGCGGTTGGTCCAAACTGCACCATTAAAGTTGCGGTTTCATTTGCGGTCAAACAATTAAGTGGTTCGCGATTTGCGACGCGAGTCGACCAAAACCGCGCGGTTGCGGTTCGAAACCGCTAACTGCTAAAGGCCTAAATCCCTACTTGGAAGGTCACCCACCACAGCTTCTCAGTTCTCACCACACACCCGATTTATTCTTCCCGGCGGCGTCGCCGACTTTCTCACCACAAGAGCAAGCCTCACCGGCGACGCCAGCGCCGACGGTTCCTCTCGCTACCAGTTCTTGCCACCGTTCCGACTCTCGAGCTTCTCGTCCCTCTCGACGTCGCGCACCACCAAGAGGCGAGAGCTTTTGAGATTTCTAGATCGAGCGCACCGGCGATGTGTAACCACCCAGGCCAGCTGGAAGCCAGCTGTCAGCAGTATAAATAGGAGAGGCTTACCTAACGTGTACTATCTTTCACCAATCTGTAAACAAGATAGTACTTTACCAATTTTAGTTAGCTCTCAATAAAAGAACTCTCTTCCCCCTCTTCTCTTTTCTCTGTTCCGCCATTTCCATCTCCATTTCGCCAGAATCCATCAACCGCGATCCTTACAAGTGGTATTCAGAGCCTTCCTTCTGGCAATGGCGACACACACTTCACGAATCGTCGACTTAGAGACTCAAATGGCGGCGGTGCAACAAAAACTGGATTCGCAACATCAAGATCTGAAATCCGCCATTGCCGAGCTCGCTGCTTCAACCAAGGATAACATCGACGCGCTCACCGCTTCCTTGACGCGGTTGCGCGACCAGTCCCCGAGGCGATCTTCTCCGTCTGGATCTCAGTCACACTTTCCCGACCCTCCGCCGTTCCTCTCTCAACATCACCGTCCGTCGCTGTTGGATCATTATCCACGATTGGAGTTTTCCTATTTCTCTGGTACCGATCCGCACGTTTGGGTGAGCAAGTGCGCGAAGCTTTTCAACCTGTATTCGATTCCAGAAGATCAGAAGGTGGAGCTGGTTTCGTATTACTTGGAAGGCCGAGCTCACACCTGGTTTGAGGGCTGGTCCTTTCGTCGCTTTCCTCTAATTTGGGGGCAGTTCGTTGAGGAATTACTTCACCGGTTCGGAAATCAAGAACAACTCAATGTTGTTGCTGCTTTTAATCAGCTGCGGCAAACGACGACGCTATCTCGTTATCAAGAAGAGTTCGAGGATCTTCGTTCTAGAATCTTACGATTGAATCCCGATCTCAATGAGTACTATTTTGTTATGAGCTTTATGGGGGGACTTGACGATGAAATCCAGCCTCGAGTTCAGGTACTCAATCCTCCGACGTTGGCGTGCGCCTTCTACCAAGCTCGTCTGGAGGAATCGCCGATTGAGGCTCGTAAGAAGAAAGCTCGCTTTGCTCCTTCTAATCGTTGGTCGGCTTCTTCGTCCACTTCGCCGTCACCATCGATTGGTCGTTCTTCACCACGCGATACTCCTGTTGCGTCGCACTTTACGCCTGAACGGATTTCCGTTCCGCGGGGCCAAGGGTTGTGTTACAAGTGCGGCAACAAGTACTTTCATGGTCATGTATGTTCTAAGAAGAAGCAACTTCATTCATTGCAGGCTGATCCTACTCCTTCTCCTGACACGGAGGAAGAACTGGATGACGAATTCTAGGATGCAGAACTGGAGGTGTCTTTGCAGGCTATGGGCTCGGGTTTCTCAGGAAATTCGTTGCTCATTCCAGCCACAACAGGGCATCACGAGGTAACATTCTTGATAGACACTGGCAGTTCTCATACGTTTCTGAACTCCTTGAAAGCTGAAGAATTGAATTGCCGAACAGAGGAAATAGCTCCCATGAGAGTCAAGGTTGCTAGTGGCCATACCCTATTGAGTAATGTTGTGTGTAGGGGATTCAATTGGAAGATGCAGGGTCAAGAGTTTGGCTTCGATGTCCGTACTCTAGAACTACCAGCGCATGATCTTGTTTTGGGATGGGACTGGTTGGAGACCATTAGCCCTTTCCAGGTGGATTTGAGGAAGAGTCAACTTTCTTTCGATTGGAAAGGGAGAAATCTGACCTTACAAGGTCTTACTAAGGATGGACAATGCAAGGTTATGACAGGGAAGTCTTTCACGCAGCTCCTCCGCAAGCCAAGCTCTCATCTGACAGGAGTTGTGTTCTCTATTGAAGCTCATCCTGCCTCCCCTGCCCCTACCCCAGATTTTCTCAAACCTCTCCTCTCGTCCTATTTAGATATATTTGCTACACCGACCTCACTTCCTCCCAGCAGGTCCTTTGATCACTCTATTCCATTGATGCCTAACACCAAACCGATTAATATTAGGCCATACAGATTTCCTCATCACCAGAAGGCTGTGGCCGAGAAGCTAGTACATGAGATGCTGCAGTCCGAGTTTATTCAAGAGAGTCATAGCCCCTATGCCTCTCTTGTCCTCCTCATTGGTAAAAAAAGACGGCACTTGGAGATTCTGTGTTGATTACAGGGAATTAAACTCAGTCACCATCAAGGATAAGTTCCCAATTCCCCACATTGAAGATTTATTGGATGAATTGCATGGGGCGGTTATTTTTTCAAAACTTGATCTCAGTGCATGGTACCACCAGATCAGAATGAGGCCTGAGGATCAATTTAAGACGGCTTTTCGCACTCACCAAGGGCACTATGAGTTTAAAGTTATGCCTTTTGGCTTGACACGCTCCTGCCACGTTTCAAGCCCTTATGAACCATGTATTTGCCAGGTATTTGAGGAAGTTTGTACTGTTTTTTTTTTTAACGATATCTTAGTCTATAGTAAGACTGCTGCTGAGCATTATCACCATCTTGCCACTGCCTTGAGTGTGCTGCGATAGAATAACTTGTACGCCAAGGAATCGAAGTGTACTTTTGGCCAGCCTACTGTGGAATATCTAGGGCATGTTATTGGCAAGGATGGGGTTTCCACGGACAAGGGAAAGGTGGCTGCTATGTCTGAGTGGCCTCGACCAACTTCAGTAAAGGCTTTGAGGGGATTTTTGGGTTTAACTGGCTATTACAGAAAATTCATCAAAAATTATGGTATCATTAGTCGTCCTTTGACGCTTTTACTCACTAAGAATGGGTTTCACTGGACAGCGGCTGCAGAGGAAGCCTTTGTGGCTTTAAAACGAGCTATGGTGACTGCTCCTGTTCTAGCATTGCTCGATTTTTCCTCACCTTTTACACTGGAAACAGACGCATGTGGTACTGGTGTGGGAGCTGTCCTTTCACAGGGAGGACGACCTCTTGCTTATTTCAGCAAAGCACTAGGCATTCGTAATCAGGGACTGAGCACATATGAGAAGGAGTACCTTGCAGTTTTGTTAGCTGTAGATCATTGGAGGCATTATTTAGAGGGACGGCTGTTTACCATTGTCACGGACCATGAAAGTCTCAAATTCTTACTCGGACAAAAGGTGCATACAACAATACAAAAAAAGGGTTTGGTGAAATTGATGGGTTTGGATTTCCAAATCAAGTATCGACGTGGTAAATACAACGGGGCAGCTGACGCTTTGTCTCGTGTTTCTAATGATGAGATGGAGACAGGTGAGTGTAGTGCCTTGACAGCAGTGCTTCCTGAATGGTTAGTGGAGATTGAGCAAACATATGAGAATGACCAAGATATTGCTGAGTTGATAGCTGCATCAGTAGTAAATTCCCAAGGCCCTTCCCTTTGGTATTTCTCGGCATGTATTCTTCGTTACAGGGGAGCAATTGTGGTGGGGTCTAATGGCTTTATGCGTGGGAAGTTGTTGCAACTCTTCCATTCATCGCCAGTAGGGGGACACTCGGGAACCCAGGTGACTTACCAACGATTGAAGAACCATTTTTACTGGCCAGGTATGAAATAAGCTGTTAAGAAGTGGGTGCTGGAGTGCGAGGTTTGCCAAAGGTGTAAAGCTGAAACAGTGGCATCTCCGGGATTATTGCAACCCCTGCCAATTCCCACGCAAGCTTGGAGAGACATAAGCATGGACTTCGTAGAAGGTCTGCCCCTTTCTCACGGTAAACAAGTCATGCTGGTAGTTGTGGATCGCTTTACTAAAATGGCGCACTTCTTCGGGTTAAAGCATCCCTACACAGCTGCTGACATTGCTCAGATCTTCTTCGACGGGGTCCTTAAATATCATGGAATTCCATCCACTATTGTGTGTGATAGAGATGCAACCTTCACTAGCAATTTCTGGACTGAATTCTTCCGCCTCCAACGCACAGACCTCCATTACTCTACGGCTTATCATCCGCAAACGGATGGTCAGACTGAACGAGTTAACAGGTGCCTCGAAGATTACTTGCGTTGTATGAAGTTTCACAGGCCTGAAGACTGGTCCTCATGGCTCACTTTGGCGGAGTGGTGTTACAACACCCACTATCACATCAGCATCCAGATGACTCCCTTTGAAGCTTTATATGGATTTCCATCCACCTTCTTCGGCCTGGATCCAGAATTCTCCACTTCAGTAGGGGCTATGGAAGAACGAATTACTCAGCAGCAACACTTAGTCCAGTTTCTCACCCACAGCATCACCAAGGCGCAGAACCGGCAGAAGCAGTATGCAGATCAACGCCATTCTGAACGGGTTTAGCAACCCGCCGATTGGGTGTATCTTAAGTTGCAGCCCTATCGTCAAGGTTCTGTGGTAGGGAGGCAAGGGAATAAGTTGGGAGCTCGTTATTTTGGGCCATATCAGGTTTTGGAGAAGGTAGGAAATGTGGCGTATAAGTTGGCTCTACCACAAGGCTCTAAGGTGCATCCTGTTTTCCACGTTTCCTAGCTGAAGTTGTGTCACACTGTGGTACCCCCTGCTGCATCTCAGCTCCCTGACTCGGACATTAGAGGTTCCCTGAAGCTGGCTCCTTCTCAAATTCTTGCACGACGCTTTGTGAATAAAGGTAACAGAGCTGTTACCCAAGTGCTAGTTCAGTGGACCCATCAGACACCAGATGAAGCAACTTGGGAGGATTTGGTCACCTTTCAGCGAGAATATCCCTCTTTCCCAGCGTGATTCTTGGCAGCTTGAGGACAAGCGGATTCTGAAAGAGGAGGGTTTTGTAACAACCCAGGCCATCTGGATGCCAGCTGTCAGCAGTATAAATAGGAGATGCTTACCTGACGTGTACTATCTTTGACCAATCTGTAAACAAGATAGTACTTTACCAATTTTAGTTAGCTCTCAATAAAAGAACTCTCTTCCCCCTCTTCTCTTTTCTCTGTTCCGCCTCCATCTCCATTTCGCCAGAGTCCATCAACCATGATCCTTACACGATGGCCCTTCCCCTGGCTTCCCTCAGCGAACGTCCAAATTCTCACCTCTGCTGGCCTCCACATCCCGGCTCAAAGGTGTCCAAATCTGATGCTAGAAGTGTAGAGCTGAATGATTTGATGTTGAAACTTGAAACGTGTGATCCACTTGGACTTAGCTTGATACCTTAACACTCTGAGGGTTGCATTAGTGGTGGTGTTTTTGTGTGTTGCTTTGGATTTTGGTATAAGGATAATGATTAACCCTTATGAATCATTGTGATTAGTCTATTGATTATCAGGGTTGAGAATATAGAGTGCATCCATGTTTCAATGATTATATTGATGTAATTATGATCTTCCTTTTGCGCTTCTTGCATGTGCTGACAGCTGATGTATGATCAAGTTGATGCTGCTGGTTTTATCAAATGGTGTGGTATTCCTATGAGGGTTGAGAGTATGCTTAAAACGTGAGAAGATCTAAGTATAATATTTTATATGTTTCTGGTCTTTGCTTAATGTAGTAGTTTGTTTGTGTATGTTCTGCTGTAACAAACAAATTGGATGGGTTTGGAGCAACATATTAGCCTAGTGCAGTTTCTCTACACATTGTCTGTGTATTTTCCTTGACTCGAGCAATGTAAGTAATTTTTCTTTCATGTTCATGCTTTTGCTTCCCTCGACAATCCATGGTTGTTGAGTTAAAGCTTAAGTATAAAAGTCATCAGCAGAACAGTGCTCTGTTTCGGTGACAGGAGAAACAGAGAGTTTATGATCTTGGTCGGTCGGCAGTAGTATTTTAATATGATCAATGTGTAATCCATAATGATTGTGGCAAACATGCGATGCAGTCCAAACCGCTCCAAAACGCTAACATATGCGATTTGGTTTGACCGCACCGATAACATTGCGGTCGAAAATGCGGTGCGGTGCGATCGAAACCGCACCAGTGCCCACCCCTACCTAATGTACTTCGACACCTTGGTTACCATGTCCAAAAATGGAATAGGGACTTGTAGACACTAGTATGTTAATGAACTTAGAATGCTTCTCATCATACTCACCTTTCTTGAGCCGATAAGGATATTAAATTTGAGCCTTATCATCGGTAAAATTTGATTTTTCTTGTACGTTGTCATCCCCTCTTGATCTTTATTCCAACTTAGGGGCTTACCCTTTAATTTAAGTTCTCTTTCCAACTTCTCAAATGCATTAGTCGCTCACAGACTTCTTGCTATGAGGACTATGTTTGTCGATTGCCTTCTTGGGTGCTTGAACTTCCTTTTGGATTCGGAGAGTGATAGCATAAGACTCTTCCAATGGATATAGAATAACATCACTTGAAGATGCAATATTTACTTTTGATATCAATACTTGAATAATTCGGTCAAAGTTACAATGCATTATGCCAAAAGAAGCATGTTAAAGTCCTTGAACTTCCTTGAGTGCTTGAAGATGTTGATGGGTTATCTCAATAAAGAGGTCAACATGATCAAACCTCTAGCTACAAGTGGACACAATTTGACTAATGATCTATTCCAACCTATCAGCCTAGTTACCCAATTTCTGGATCGAATGATAATGGTATTCAATCGATTGATGTAAAAAGTAAGAACTTGGTTGTTTCAGTACTAAGAGTTCCAACTATAACAACTTGCTTAATAGCACCTAGTTGGGAATTCACTCCATTCTCGTTAATTTGACTTGTCAAATCCTCAGCCATACCACCTAAAGACTCAAATGTGCTTCAATAAGGACATAATATGAACAATGGTCGCTAGAAGTTCTGATTCTTCTTCCATCTTCCCAATCTTGCTCACTTACAGCTACATCCTCAAAAAGTGCATACATTTGATCCGATTTTTGTTTCTAATAAATCCTCCTTTAGTGACATTAATGAGTTATCGACATCCACTCCTCAATCCATTCTAGAAAAATCCATTTAAAGCTAATCCTCGAAACTATGATTAGAATATTTGTATCTTTCCCACGCCTCATGCGAAGGCTCTTCATCTCTTTGTTGAAATTTGAAGATTTCCTCTCAAAGTTGAGATGCTTTTGAGCGAGAAAAATAACAGTTCATGAAATTCATATAGAGGTCCTTCCAAGAGGCAATGGAGAGTGGTGGTTGATTGACAAATTACTTCATAACTATCCAATTTAAGGAGAATGAGAATAGTCTTGGTCGGAAAGTCTCTTGTGGTATTCCAACCATCTTGATTCTATTGGTGAAGTTGAGGAAAGCTTGTATATAAATTTGACAGAGACATGTCACGTAAAGTTCTCGAACCCAACTTCTTTTTATAAGCGCAGCACGAACCATGGGAAAAATGAACAAACTTAAGCTCAAAATTCTTGCCCAAGGGCGTGTTTATCGAAGTGGTACTTCCGACTCTTCGGAACCCAAATTACCACCACCATATAAGAAGAGAGCTTCTAAGAAAAAGCAGCTCACAACTCTATGTCTTAATCCTCTCATTGAAGAGTGTTCAGAATCGGAAAGCAACAAGCTCCCTTATGTACCTATAACATCTAGAGACATGGTTGAACGAACTCTCTACGAGTGTACAAGGCCTCAAGTTGCGAATATTGCTTCAAGCATCGTCCTACCGGTGTTACATGTCCCAAAATTTGACCTGAGGGCTTTTGTAATCCACATGATCGACAATGTTGGGCGCTTCAAGGGACGAGATACAAAAATCATGTAGAACGCATCAAAGTATTTTTGTAGATATGTGATTCTGAACAAAATCTAGTTGATAAACCAGACTCATTAAGGCTATGCCTCTTTCCTTTCTCCATCTACGAGAAAGCAAAGAGCTGGATAAATTGCCAATCACCTGGCACTTTTCGAACATAGGTGACACTGGTTCAACCTTTTATAGAAGAGTTCTTCCCTCCATGAAGAACTGATGAATTGAGAGACCAGATCGCTCACTTCCAACAACGTCGTTATGAATCTTTATACGATGCATGGAAACGATTCCAAGTGCTCATTCTATCTTGACCACACCATGGTTTTGGCTAGGACAGCTTGCAGACATCTTCAGCAAAGGTCTTGACCTATATATCAGACTTATTAAAACTCTGGTCTCAATCTTGGTGTGGTCAAGACAGACCTATATATCAGACTTATTAACACTTTATTTTATCTCAGGCTCAACAAAAACATAAACAGGGGAAGGTTCAAACCTGATAGGTTATTCGGTCTAATCTTGATGAATCACTTGCTCGTCGGTTAGTTGGTTAATCGACAAAATAATCGACAACCAGTTATACATCCATGGTTACTCTATTAATGTATACAATGTAGTTAACAATAAACACAAATGACTTAATAATTAACCAATAATCGAATAAACAATTATAATTGTAACCGAATCGAATCGAACCGACTAACAAGGCAAATTCACCCTTTCAATTTGATATGATCCAAATTGGCCAACTCTACAAGTCACAATTTCTTGTGAAAGAAGCATGTCAATTTTGGCTTAGTGTTTGTTCGTATGTAGGAAGCTCACTTTGCAATGATGGTTCTCCCAAATGCTTTGATGAAAATACAATTAAAGGGCATGGAATTGAAGAACAAGAGTTTATTTACAAGATGGAAGGCTTGGATGGTCAAAAACAAGTATGAAAGGTTGTTTTCTAAGTCCATCAAGATTCGTGTTTAAAACCAGAAAACTGCCAGATTCTGGCTAGGTCTGGAAGCGTGTTCAGACACCCTTCTTTGAGGGCTTATTCGTTCTAGAAGAGGAAGAATCGAGGCAAGAAGAGAGTGACACATGAAATTACAGGTTTTTGTGAACAACCTAAAGGGATTGGATGATTAAAAGCGTTACTCTAAGGCTTCAAACGAGATGGAGCAAGATCACGAATGGGAGGACTGTGTTAGTAAACAATATATGATCCACCATTGAACCTCTCTCAACAACTCGAGTTATTGGGACTAACTGGTTCTTGAAACAACTCGAGTTATTAGGAGAGGTTCAAGGGTCGGTTAGCTGGTTAATCGACAAAATAATCGACAACCAATTATACATCTATAGTTACTCTATTAATGTATACAATGTAGTTAACAATAAACACAAATGACTTAACGATTAACCGATATTCGAATAAACAATTATAATTGTAACCGAATCGAATCGACTAACAAGGCAAATTCACCCTTTCAATTTGATATGATCCAAATTGGCCAACTCTACAAGTCACAATTGCTTGTGAAAGAAGCATGATTATTTGGCAAGAAGAACCATCAATTTTGGCTTAGTGTTTGTTCGTGTGTAGGAAGCTCACTTTGCAAGGATGGTTCTCCGAAACGCTTTGATGAAAATACAATTAAAGGGCATGGAATTGAAGAACAAGAGTTTCTTTACAAGATGGAAGGCTTGGATGGTCAGAAACAAGTATAAAAGGTTGTTTTCTAAGTCCATTAAGATTCGTGTTTAAAACCAGAAAACTGCCAGATTGTGGCTAAGTCTGGAAGCATGTTCAGACACCCTTCTTTGAGGGCTTATTCGTTCTAGAAGAGGAAGAATCGAGGCAAGAAAAGAGTAACACATGAAATTACAGGTTTTTGTGAACAAACTAAAGGGATTGGATGATTAAAAGCGTTACTCTAAGGCTTCGAACGAGATGGAGCAGGATCACAAATTGGAGGACTGTGTTAGTAAAAAATATATGATCCACGATTGAACCTCTCTCAACAACTCGAGTTATTGGGACTAACTGGTTCTTGAAACAACTCAAGTTATTGGGAGAGGTTCAATCGTGGATCATATACCATTTACTAACACACCCCCTCAAATGAAAGCCACCACATATGGACTGGAAATTTGCATAGGTCCGGACACCATGTGCTTAAAAGAAACGTATGGGGGTCATCGGGATTCGAACAGAAGACCTCTCTGTCACAGAAGACTTTGATACCATTCAAGAACCAGCTAGTCCCAATAACTCGAGTTGTTGGGAGAGGTTCAATCATGGATCATATACCGTTTACTAACAGACTGCACCACAAGAAACCAAATCCTTCTCGGATTAGGATTACTACTCCTATTTGGATTTGAATGTTTTGTTTCCATGTTCAAAGTTAATTAGAACTTCCTTTTCGTTTGTAAGCATAGCTAGGTCTATTTAAACTCGTTTCTTTTGCATTGTAAATCAGTTTAAATCAAGATTGAATTCAAGTTTGAGTTTTGTTCATTAAGCTTTCGCTTTGTGAATTTGGTTGAATTGCTTGGAGGGTTTCCAAGGGTTGAAGAGCTTGTATTGATCAATTTATTCCCATTGATCATGGCCAACATCGATTTATACTTGTTGAGCCTTCTTCCACGTGAAAGATTTCACGAGAGTTCTGTTCCCACAACACCAAAACACCACCCTGTTTTCAAGTTTTTAGTTCAAGAATCAAGTTCAATTCGTCAATTGAACAAGTTGCGCAATTCCATACACAATCCAATCATCTAGGGTTGTATTAAGTGGTATTAGAGCCGCGTTCAACATAATGGCCAAGAAGACAAAAGACATTCGATCGGTTGCTGCAAGAACGAGAAGGAAAGATCTGATTGCCCTTCGCAAACCAAAGGAAATAGAATTAGAGTCTGAATTCGAGGAAGAAACTCAGTTTGAGGATCCTGCAATGACAGGAGTTCAGCAGGTCAACATGACAGAGCTTTTACAGACACTCACAGCGCATATGAGCGTCCTTTTTCAAGCCCAGTTCGATAAACTCGAACATCGACTTGATGCTCTGTCACCGGAAACTGGTCGGGAGACAGGGCTGAATCGAGACCAAGAAATTGCAAGCTTGTTGCTCGCTTTGAGGAGCTCGAGCAACGTCTGGTGGTAGTCAATCCAGAGCTAGGAAAACATAACCACAACTGCCGAGAATATCGAGGTTGACTGCCAATAATAGAGACAACCATTCCTCCTGGAATCAAGCTCTTCATCTCGCCATTTCAGGGGATGATCAATCCTGCGGTGTACCTGGACTGGGAACGAAAGATAATTTGTTCTTCCAGTGTGGCCAATTCCCTAAGCAGCAGAAATTAGCAATAGCACCTACGAATTTTCAGATTATGTAACACAATGTTGGGAGCAACTGCAAATCCGACGACGAAGAAATTTCCCCGCCCCGGTGATTACATGGGAAGAATTGTGTGGTCTGATGCGTGAGAGGTTTGTTCTGGGCTACTATTAACAAGAGCTCCATGAGTCGTTACAAGGTATTCGACAAGGATCAAGGAGCGTGGAGGAGTATTTTCATGAATTGGAACTGCTTATGATGAGGGTCGATATTAGAGAAGATAAAGAGGCAACCATTGCTCGATTCCTCCATGGGCTGAATCGTGACATTAGGTAAGAAGTAGAACTCAGGTCATTTGTTGAATTGGAGGAAGCTGTTCATCTTTCAATCAAAATTGAGAAGCAGCAGAAGGTACTTTCAGGAAGAAGATTTTCGAACTCCAAGCCGCACACAGAGCCCAATGTCGAGGCTAGTAACCCCCAACTTAATCCTGAAATCACGAGATCCTTGACCAAAATGACGACACATGCTGTTCAGGAGAGGACTGGAGGATCTAGTGGGGGAACCCAGTGCTTGAAGTGCCATGGCAGAGGGCACAAAGAAAATCAATGCCCCAACTTGAAGATCCTGACTTTGCGCGATGGAGAGTACGTCAGCGACAATGAGGATCAAAAGAAAAACAAGGATGAATCGTCCGAGGAGGAGGTTGATAAAGAGATCGAAGTTGAGGTTCCTTCTACAAGAAAACTCTTGGGGGTTAATTGACGATCCCTTACAATTGAAGCTCACGCATCTTCTGAACAGATGGACAACCTCTTTCGTTCAAGGTGTATTGTCAATGGCGAACTCCTATCTCTGATTATTGATGGAGGGAGTTGTACGAACTTCGTTAGTGGATTCGTTGTTAAGAAACTTGGCGTGAGTAGAACTAAGCATCTGGATCCTTACAACCTGCACTGGCCCAATGACTATGGAGCCATCAAGGTGACCAAGCAGGCCAATGTACCTTTTGAAATTGGCCGCTACAAGGATGAAACCTTGTTCGATGTTGCCACAATGCAGATAGCCCACTAACTGTTAGGGCACCCTTGGCAATTTGATTGTCAAGTGTGGCACTTTGGAGGGTCTAATTGCTACAAATTGAACACGAAGGCGCGATAGTTCGTGCTCAAGCCATTATCCCCAACTAACGTTCGAGCGGATCAGTAGCAATTGGCCACAAATCGGGCCAAAGGAAGAAAGGAAGCCAGTGGGTCGACAAAGGGAGAGAATGGTGACAGTACTTAAGAGGTTACATTCTCCTCAGCGGGCTGTAGCAATGCCACTCTGTTCACCGACGAAAATGGAGCAGAGCGAGAGAGATGGTTAATTGGGTGGAGCACTGGGGAAAGATTCGAGCTCAACCAAAGATGCCAACACATTTCCTATACCACCAGGAAACTCTTCCTTGGATTGGATTGAGTCAATTGCAATCACAACACAATTTCCGATTTGAGCCAAACATACTCTGGAAAAGCTCAAAACCGACGAAAAATCGAGCAGATTGGTTGGAGCATTGGAGGCTGATTCGACACCAATTGCCAGTGCAGAATCGACAAGTGAGGATATCCGAAGCTGTAAGAAGTATCAATTCCAACCAGAGATCCCTAGAATGAAAAAGCTCAAATCGGAATCGAAGTTTCTAGGTTCTAGAATTTTGAAAGGCGACAGTGGGGGGAAAGAAAGAATCGTCGATTCGACGAAGAGTCGAGAGGAGAAGCTGGTCCAGAAATGCAATTCGAAGTCTAACGGAACTCGTGGAGGCAGTGGATTAGATTGGGAATGCTTCAATTCGAAAGCCCAAAATCGCACAATGTAGAACACTTAACCTAATTCTGCAGAAATTCGAATTCAGACAGCCCCCTTTCGATACAATTTGGGATCAAGTCTGCGACAGGTTCGAGCAGAGGAAGGCCAGAGCTTTGAGGGCAAAGATTTTTGAAGAGGGGGGGGGCTGATATGTTCCAAATTGGCCAACTCTATAAATCACAATTGCTTGTGAAAGAAGCAAGATTATTTGGCAAGAAGAACCATCAATTTTGGCTAAGTGTTTGTTTGTGTGCAGGAAGCTCACTTTGCAAGGATGGTTCTCCCAAATGCTTCGATGAAAATACAATTAGAGGGCATGGAATTGAAGAACAAGAGTTTCTCTACAAGATGGAACGCTTGGATGGTCAGAAACAAGTCTGTAAGGTTGTTTTCCAAGTCTATCAAGATGCGTGTTTAAAGCCAGAAAACTGCCAGATTGTGGCTAAGTATGGAAGCGTGTTCAGACACCCTTCTTTGAGGGCATATTCGTTATGGAAGAGGAAGAATCGAGGCAAGAGGAGAGTGACACGTGAAAGTACAAGTTTTTGTGAACAACCTAAAGGGATTGGATGAGGCTTTGAACGAGATGGATCAAGATCACGAATTGGAGGACTGCACCACAAGAATCTGAATCCTTCTCGGATTAGGATTACTACTTCTTTCTGGATTTGAATGTTTTGTTTCTGCGTTCAATGTTAATTAGGACTTCCTTTTGGTTTGAAAACATAGCTAGGTCTATTTAAACTCATTTCTTTTGCGTTGTAAATCAGTTTTTATCCAGATTGAATTCAAGTTTGAGTTTCGTTCATTAAGCTTTCGCTTTGTGAATTTGGTTGAATGGCTTGGAGAATTTCCGAGGGTTCAAGAGCTTGTATCGATCAATTGATCTCCATTGATCATGGCCAGCATCAATTTATACTTGTCGAGCCTTCTTCTACGTGAAAGATTGCACGAGAGTTCCGTTCCCACAACCCCAAAACACCACCCTGTTTTCAAGTTTTTGGTTCAAGAATCAAGTTCAATTCGTCAATTGAACAAGTTGCGCAATTCCATACACAATCCAGTCTTCTAGGGTTGTATTACATTTGTAATCCAGAGTTGAAGGTTGGTAAGCACTTGCGAGGGACAAAGCCTTATCTTTCAACGTGTTTACGTGAATGTATCCAAATGACAGGATCGAGTACATCTGATAAAATTGAAATGATACAACAAAGATTAGCACGACTCCACACAACACAATGATGACACACTTAAATCGAGAAAAGTAATATGATAATTACATCGAGATGGACGATTGCGTTTCATTTTAGGGAATAAACACAGAAAGAGTCCCTTCTCCACTAAATAGTTATGGGACTATAATAGTAAACAGTGTTTACTTACTCGTTGGTAGTTAAAGGCTTAAAGCCCAAAAAATTACAAATCAAAAACAAAAAACCCGTCCGATAAACGCCAAGAAACCGACGACACTAGAGAACAATCTCCGTTCTTCCCTCTATCCCCTCTTATTTCTGGTTCACGCAATCACGCTCCTCACTTTCTGTTTGTTTCCCGGGAAAGCACTCCGTTTCCGAGAAAGTAAAACGAGCCGAGGACGACGACATTTCACTCTTTCGAGTAAACCTCCGCAAGCTCAGCAGATCGCACATTGTTAGATCGTGATTGCGACCACCCCCGCGAGTAATCCGTTGCCCTTTCCGTCCTTCCCAATCTTCGTCTTTCATAAAGCGACGGGGTCCAACACGAAGGAGGAGAGCTGGATCCGTCTCAGGAACCAGCGCAGTCCTTGAAGGCACCAGCCGCCGCTGCCGCCGCCGCCGCTGCCACTGCCACTAGCAGTAACGGTCAGATCCGCTACCGCTCGCCTTCCTCCGCCGAGCTACTGGAGACCGGAGCCACTTCCCCGACGCATTCCGACCATCCCGCCTCCTCCGACAAGATGAGCAAGCGCAACGCCCTCCGTCACGAGAATTTCTCCGACAAGATCCAGAGGTACCGGAGCGTTCTCTTGGTGATCTCCATCCCGATGCTCTTGATCGGATTCGTCTTGTTCGTGATGCCCGGCCGGGAAGAGTACGAGATCACCAACCGGAAGCTGTCCCCCAATTTGAAGGACTCTAGGAACTACGCTGTTATATTTGATGCGGGTAGTTCTGGAAGTCGAGTTCATGTCTTCTGTTTTGATCCCAATATGGATCTCATTCCAATTGGCGGAGAGCTAGAGCTTTTCCTTCAGGTAGACTTCTCTCGATCTTTCGCTGCAATTGGCTCATAAATTTCCCAAGTAGAATTCGATTCTAGTTCTCCCTTTTGGACTTTGCTTTGTGAATTACTGAATTATGATGGTTAGCATTGGTCTGTTTTGTCTTGTTTTAGCTTAAGCCTGGTTTGAGCTACTATGCCAAGGACCCACGGGCGGCAGCGGAGTCCCTCACCTCTCTACTCGATAAGGCAGAAGCTGCTGTGCCCAGGGAACTGCGATCCAAGACCCCAGTTAGAGTCGGGGTGAGTAATCTCTCGTTGTTTTCTGGTTGTGTATAGTATCTTCGTCGAGGAATGTGAAATGTTGGATGCTGAAATCGCTTCACTGTAGGCGACTGCAGGCTTGAGGGCATTGGAGGGTGATGCATCTGACCGAATTTTGCAAGCGGTAATGAAGTCGTCCACTTTACAATATTCTAAGTCACTATTTTTACTGTGTTGGGCTGCAATATCATTACTAACTCATTCTGGCTTGTCCTTTAAGGTTAGGGATCTTCTGAAAGATCGGAGCACCTTGAAATCTGATGCAAATTCGGTCACAGTCTTGGACGGTTCTCAAGAGGGTTCATATCAGTGGGTATGTTGTTCTGTCTTGTATGTTTCTCTGATACAAACATCCAACTAGAGATCTATGTCCTGGATTCAGTGTACAAAGACTAATAAGCCAGAAGGCTTATCCAGTAGTTTACCATATAAGTGAAGTTTCCTTCTATGTGGCGAGGAGTAGTTGACTTAGTTTGAACCTGATCTGCCTATCAGTGGTTCAAATTTCAAAGTAATTGCCAATGTTGGATTTGAAGAGCTTGGTGGCTAAAAAACTATGACTTGCTATTTGCATTCAAGGGGTCAGTCATTAGTGTTTAAACAACAATTGGTTTCTTGCTCATCTTGTTTTCTTCAGCATTCATTTGTGCTCATTTGCTGAAATATCTTCTACATGAGAGATACTGAAATTAGGATACTACCTCACATAGTTTGCTCTGATAAAGTTAGGAATACATGCAAGTAAAATTGTTGTAAGTCAATTATGCGCTCTGCATTTAATTGATACAGACATTAATACAAACAGTGTCTACTTGGGTAGTCATAACATTTCTTCAATTGTTTTCCCCTCCCAGGTCACAATTAATTATCTCTCAGGAAAGTTGGGGAGGTCTTATGCCAGTACAGTCGGGGTAGTTGATCTTGGTGGTGGATCTGTTCAAATGGCATATGCCATTTCTGAGGCAGATGCAGCAAAAGTTCCAAGGGTGACAGATGGAGAGGATACCTATGTACACAAAATGCTTCTGAAGGGAACAACATATTACCTTTATGTTCACAGGTCCTCTTCCTCAAGCTTAAAATCTAGCATAATGTCTCCCATCTACTCTTCTTCCGAGGCATTAGAAACATCCATTTCTGACAACAAGATTTTTCTTGCATATGACACATGCAGCTATTTGCACTATGGACTATTGGCAGCTAGAGCTGAGATTTTGAAGGTGTCTGATGGCTCATCCAATCCATGCGTTTTGGGTGGTTATGATGGTACAGTTAATTGCTTTGTCATTGGAAAAATTCACTCCTTAGAATTCATGTCCTACCAAGATATTGTAATTAAAATAAGTTTCCTTAATAGAAAATATTTGTGCCTTCAAATGATCAGTGATTCTGATGATGAAAGGTGTGGGAATCAAGAGTTCAATTCTTCTTGTTTTTCCTATGATAGAGACTATGCAAATGATTTTCCTAGTGCTTACCAAGTTTTAATCTGCTTATCCTCGAAAGGTTCATACTCGTATGGAGGAGAGAACTTCAAGGCATCTGCATCTCCTAGCGGTTCTAACTTGGAAGAGTGTAGAAGGGTAGCTACTAGGGCGCTGAAAATTAACGAGACTACATGTGTGCACATGAAATGCACCTTCGGTGGAATATGGAATGGTGGGGGTGGAGATGGCCAAAAGAACCTATTTGTTGCTTCATTTTTCTTTGACAGGGCTGCTGAGGTATATATATATATATATACTCCTTGCTCCCTGTTAATTATCGCTGCTATAGGAATCAGAGGGAGATTATATAATCTTTCTTCACCTTGGATCTGACTGTAATGCGCTGCACAAAAATTAAATTTTACAGGCAGGTTTCATTAATCCCAAAATACCTGTTGCTAAAGTTCGTCCATCGGATTTTGAGGAAGCAGCTAAAAGGGCATGTGAATCTAAGCTCGATGCTGCGAAAGCAACTTACCCTGGTGTCGAAGAGGGTAACCTGCCGTATCTCTGCATGGATCTTGTCTACCAGTACACATTGCTTGTTGATGGATTTGGTAAGCCCCCGAAACTTTCGCTTTTGGTTTCTCTCTCCCTTTGTTGGATGGGCATGTTATGATAACCTCTCCCCCTTCATTGTGATGTATTGTTCACCCACGCACTTAATTCTTATGTAGGTCTAAGTCCCTGGCAGGACATCACGCTGGTGAAGCAGGTTAAATACCGAGATGCGTATGTTGAAGCGGCATGGCCATTAGGTAGCGCCATTGAGGCCGTTTCAGCATTGTGATTTTGATTCATAAATAGGCTTTGAATTCGGGTAGAGGATTGTGTGGGCGGGTTTAGTGATCTGAAGGGAGTGCACCGGCAATGTTTTCTCAAGCAGCAGCTGGGGAATGGATGAGATGAGACCCTTTTGTTTGCGCCTGTAATGTTTTTGGGAATAATAGGTGGTGATACGGGGGAAAGAAGAGAGAGAGAGAGAGAGAGAGAGAGAGAGAGAGAGAGAAGTCCTACGTTTTGATTATTGCTTGGCTTGTGCCTGTGGCATAATTCTTTAGACGCAGAGCTCCATTTGTTTTTTTCGTTGAATCTTCATTCTGTAACTAGGTTGTAGAACATCGTGATCTGTTATTACCATTTATCCGAATTTTGATTCAATTCAATTCTCATCTGGTTATCTGTATCGGTCGTTTGGTTCTTTTGTTTCAGTGGAAGCACTCGCACCCATCGGCTCAGCGTTTTATATTTAGCAAAATACACTTGTATAGTCACACATTTCACGTTTGTATTAGTGACAAATATAGCCAGTTAGTCAAACAAATAGAACCCTAACTTTGGAAATACAAAATCAAAGCCATCTGTTGAGAGCATGAAAATGGGAAAACCAAAATGGCGGGATTTATTTAACTATAACTTCAACAGCGATTCTGCGCTTTCCTACTCTTCAGTCCCAACGACAACGAGATGTCAAGTCTATCTGATGAAAGAGTAGTAACTTTAAGTTGATCAATCGGGGTATTCTTTTCTTTTCTTTCCTTCGCTTATTGCTTGTTTTTTTCTTCTCTTCGTTAATTCGGTAGACCGCCTTTGTTTTCTTCACTGCGTCATTTTATCGAACACCTTCCGCTCCATCTTTACGTCCACGTATTCGTGCTCTGCTCCTGCTAGTATGTATCTTGCTATTACTCGCTTGATGTGCGACTGAACTATGCGAGGAACCAGAGCTGCTAGTTTGTTTCGAAGGGCGCTTTCTGTTGTTGCGGCTCGTACGCCTGGCCATTTGTCTCACGCGACACCAGTTCATGTCTCCCATCGGACCGCCGAGGACGCCGCTTCGGGGAGTCGATTGGTTTCTCAGTTTGCATCTGCTTTATCTTCATTCTCTGGTTCGAGTGTCGAAACCCCAGTTGGAGGAACTGCTCCAGATATTCCAGAGAGAAGTCTCAGTGAGAGCAATGGTGATGATGATGTTGAAAACGGTATATCCTCTTCTTCCAGTTCAAGTGTCGACACACCAGTTCCCGCAACGACCACCGTGAATCCAGGAGAATGTTCCGTCCAGAGAGATTACGATGATGATGCTAATGAAAGTGATGATGGTTCCCGCAGTGATTGTGATGATGGATTTCATGATGGTGGCGAGGGGCAGGTGAAGCTGATTGATGCCGCCCTTCTTATAGATGCGCATGCCATTGTTAAAATGTTGCATGATTCGAGTAAAAATCGTGTGGAAATGAGGGACAAGATTGAGCAGTGCGAGGTTAAGGTGTCACATGAATTGGTCAGGGAAGTTCTTTCCAGGGTGAGGAATGATTGGGAAGCAGCCTTCACTTTCTTCTTGTGGGCTGGTAAGCAGCCAGGTTATGCTCATTCTTTACGTGAGTATCATGCTATGATCTCTATCCTAGGTAAAATGAGAAAGTTTGATACAGCATGGGCATTGGTTGATGAGATGAGAGGTATAAGAACTGGTGTTTCGCTTGTTACTCCACAAACTCTGCTGATTATGATAAGGAGGTATTCGGCTGCCCACGATGTTGGTCAAGCTATAAACACATTTTATGCACACAAGCGCTTTAAATTCGATGTGGCGATGGAAGATTTTCATGGTCTTCTGTCTGCTCTAAGTCGTTACAAGAATGTACAAGATGCTGAGCAGTTGATGTGGTGCAATAAGGAGATCTTTCCGTTCAACACAAAGAGTTTTAACATTGTGCTGAATGGATGGTGTAATGTGATTGGTAGCCCTAGAGAAGCAGAGAGAGTGTGGAGGGAGATGTCCAAAAGGGGGATCCGCTATGATGTTGTCTCATATGCAAGCATCATCTCTTGTTATTCAAAGGCAGGCAATATTTACAAGGTGCTAAAGATATACAACAGGATGAAGGAGATGAACATTGAACCAGATAGGAAAGTGTATAATGCTGTTATTCATGCTCTTGCAAAGGCAGGGCATGCAGAGGAAGCTATTGATCTGTTGAAAACAATGGATGAGAAGAAGGGCATTTCACCTAATGCCGTGACTTATAATTCATTGATTAAACCTTTGTGCAAGGCACAGAAAATCAATGAAGCAAGAGCTGTCTTTGATGAAATGTTACAGCGTGGTCTCCCTCCAACAATACAGACATATCATGCTTTCTTGCGTTACCTGCGGACTGCTGAGGGTGTATTTGAGCTATTGGAAAATATGTCAAAGGTGGGTTGCCAGCCAACGAATGATACCTATATTATGTTGATCAGAAAGTTTTGCCGATGGCGCCAACTTGATAATGTGTTCAAACTTTGGGATCTGATGATCAGGAATGGGATAAGCCCGGATCGTAGCACATATATTGTGCTGATACATGGGCTCTTTCTAAATGGCGAATTGGAGTTGGCACATCAATATTACGCAGAAATGAAGGAGAAGCAGCTATTGCCAGAACCTAAGATAGATGAAGTGATTCAGACATGGTTGTCAAACAAGCAAATAGCAAAGCTGCAGCTGGTGAAATCAGAAGGCAATCAGTCAAGCAAGCCAGGCAGAGATACTTCTACAAGATTCGGACGTGACAAAAACTTCGTCCGGCAAGCTGAAACACGAAGAGTTGTGAGAGATCGAGGCTTTTCATTCTGGGAGCCTTAGTTTATTATGTCGTCCAGATTAATTAAGTCATCATCTAGGGTTGTGTAACTGCATAGTGTATTCATTCATATGGCCAATTATCCTATCATTGTTACTTCAAATGCTCACACATGAGATCGCAGGCCTACTTTGAAGAAGTGCAGATCTATGTTTCAAATCTTTTGGATTTCTAGAACTCTTTTCAGTACCTTCTCAGCTGCCAGGGTATTCGACTCTCAGTGCACTGTTATTCATAAGACTATATGACAAGTGAAGCTTTCTGATACAACTACCAACTAAGGCTTATTGTAATTTATGATAGGATAATCAGAGTGATGCTTCCATTCAACTCTTGTCCTCTGGCATCCATTTGTACTGTACATGTGGTAGGTTTAACATCTTAGCGTAACTTTGTGATAATTGTAGTCTTCAGGGCTCGGTAGAATTTGCACTGTTTGTTTTTCTTATTCTTTCTAGACCTTGTAAGTTGGTATGTTACAGGGAAACTACTTCAAATTGGTTGTGCCATGTACATGAGACATCTGTTTCGTCATACATTTACCGGTCTTTTGGTTGCAAACCAGGGGTTCTCTGTATTAGAAAAATACAATGAAGGTTCACTTCAGGTTACAGTAGATTCTAGCCACCTGATGTGAAGTGATGTTAGTCCCTCTGCTGGTGCTTTTTACCCTTTTTAGTTTGTTGTGACTGGGCCAGTTTATTCACTTAGACTTCTCAATTTAGTAAGCAAATTGTCTTGCTGCTTCTTTTTCACTGAATGAATTGGTCAAGTTCCCTTGCTTATCCCGTGATGGCTTTTAGGTTTGATCCATTTCATGCACAAATGTGGTACTAATGAAAAATATTGCTGCCTGTTGATCTCATGCAAGCACAGATTAGAGACGTCAGATTTCACTGTTGGATTTGGATACATACGCTTTATTTCTGGATTATGTACATCATCCTCTGAAGAAGTCTTTTACTTGCTCAGTTGGCCAAGTATGGATCACTTGTGGCCAACCGGTTTTAGTTTGAATCCACTTTTCTGCTCTATTGTTTCACCAGAAGAAATCGAATATGACCGGTTTATCTAGTGCCAGTGGATACTTAGAAATTGTGGAAGAGGAAACATACTCTGTATATCAAACAAATAAATGTTAAGGGCTACTTATAGCATGTAACTTTGTTTCCGTTTCTAGATATGCCTTTTCCTTACTTTTTTAGTCTGGTTATTGAAGCCCCTGCTTGCGGTGCTCTTGAAATCCTTGATCAGTGGTACTGGTAAGCCATCAGAGGTGATTTTGTCCACCTTGGATTTTGTTTCCCAGTAGACTATGTATAAATTGACTTGGCAGACTTGCTAACATGACTGTCTAACAATTTGGTGATACTTCAGCCTTTTCCGAGGCTTAGAATTTTATATCAACGGATACAATAGTGTTTTTCTGCATTTGCTACTGCAGAGTGATGAAGCCATCTGGGAGTGGGATCAAAGTTTGGCAAGACCTAATTGTGGCTGACTTTATCACTAACCATTTTATCAAATGTTTCTACTGTTGTCTTTGTTCCTTTTTACTGTGCATAAACTGATTAGGGACTTTAATTATGCAACCAGCTACGTGTAAGTTTTTCTTCCCCTAATTAGAGTGGGGGGACCTTAGATTTGCTGTCTGTTTCTAGCTGCTTTGTGGGTAATTATCATGTGGGGTAATTATCATGCTTTCCCGTAACTTGTAGTTAGCAGTATGGACAAATATTTCTGGAATGTTGAGCTTACCCTCCTGCTGATTCTATGCCTTTTTGAAGTCTAATCAGGTTAAAGATGATGGGGCCCCTGGAGATATGTGGAAGTGAGTTGTCCCTTTACTTTTCTTGAAAGTTCCTTATTCCACTGGTTTAAGACAACAACTGAACGAAGTACTCTAAAGATGCCATGGAAGAGAATCCCACAGGTTAGGCCTAACTCAAAACCTTTTTTTTTTTTTTTTTGTTTGTAATGCCCGACTTTGAAGAAATCTGGTGCATTGGCATTTGACATGGGATAGCTACTAGCTAGCTGGGTATTTAGATTAGGTGAACCACACGTGGAAAACTACTGGGGGTCACAATCTGTGACTTCTGTTTTGTTTTTTTTGCAGTGTGGAAAATTTAGCTTGATATTCATTCATTCATTCATTCATTCATGCATGCAGGCCATACCCTATTGAGTATTGACCAGTCCTAACTCGAGATAGAGTCATCGTTTCTTTTTTTTTTTCATTCAGATCCAGCTAACAGCTTGATGTGAACGTGAACAGCCAATCAAATCCTGGCCTGCGAGCATAATTAGCTGCAGAGCACCATGTTTGGATGAGAAAAGGTGTAGTAGAATCAAATGACCCTTTTGTTACTATTTGATGCTTTGTTATCTGGCTGCAATAGAACGTCAAAAAATAATCAAACACCGTAAGTGGGATGAAGAAACTGTGGAAGTGAGTTCGTTTTCACGATCAGCTTTACTTATCTTTAAGTGTGGTGGAAAGAATGCAGAGAAGTAGTGCGTTCTAGATTTCTACTTTTGTGCAGGTAAAATCGAAAGTCAAGGCTCCCACAACCAAGTAGAGGGAATGCTTTTTTTTTTTATTCAACATTTAAGGTAAACTTTGACATCCTTACAATGTGGTGTGATATAGTTAGTTTCCCTAATGTGTTTTCCTTTTCAATTTGGCAAGTCGGTTGAACAAATACTGTAATAAGGTTAAACAAATACTAACTGGAATATATATGCTCTTCTTTTTAATACACCAAGTTAGAACTTAGAAGGTGGACAAAACTGATGGGCTAGTTTGGTCAAAGTTACAACAACATAGGAATATTGATTTTCTTATAGGTTTTGAGGCACGTGGGGTTATCTGAATTTCAGTGCAACAAGTTACCTGTTATGTGGGGAAGGAGAGGAGATGAGATGAGATGAGAAAAAATCTTGTTGTGGTGGGGGCTGGGTATACTTGGTAGTTGATTTTGCATCACACGTGACATAATATGTTCCAGGTCATAAATGAGACAGAGTTTCCAGGTCATATAACAGACATGTAACGGCAAGCCCATGCCATTGAACCAAAATAAATATATGAAAAGCTATGATTATCATCTTCTCAACTCAGTCTTGTTGGATAATCTTAAAACTCGTTTTCTGGGTTTGTTTGATACTTTTAATAAAATTAAAACCTCGGTGGGTCGGTTGGTTCTTTCAGCAAGCATATGCTCCCACCCAGAAGAGAAAGATAGATAGCCCATCTTCTGTTCTGTTATCTAACTCAGGTTTAATTTGTCGTAATCTTCTTAGTGCTTCTTTCTTTGTCCAATCCTGCTGGTGGTCCTTCTCATGCTAGGGAGTTCCTCTGTAATTTTGATTGTCGAGTCTCTGAACCTGACGTGGCTTTGCTCTGTTCGGTTTAGGATGCTAAAAGACACTCAATATTTTTGGTTATTGTTCAAACCCAGGTTTGGGTAATCTCACTTTTGGAGTATATCTATATTAATTTGTTATTTTGGGTTTAAATTAGACTTATTATATTGGATATCCACACTAAGATAAACAAAAATGTGAACCATCAACATTAAACCTGTGAATTGGGTTAAAGGCAGTTGGTTAGATGATATATTTATGGTGATGTCTTTGGCGCACTTATTTTTTTTTTGGGTGCATTGCCTCATAATTGTCATTTCGAGCATGCAATTCATGCTTATGTTTGGACCGGTTATGTTTGGACCGGTTTTTAGAAGTGTTTTTCGGGTTCAAAAGCCTCTAAAAGCTTGGCTTTTGAAAAGCCAAAAAGCGCTTTTGTATAACATAAAAGTAGAAGCTACGATTTGGAGCTTTTGCGAAAGTTGTTTTGAAAATACAAAATTATACTTACCATATTTCAATTTTATTTCAGAAAATATAATTTTATTTCAATCATTTCAAAAATAAAATAAATTATAAAATTATATTATTTAATATAAAAGGAATCTAACAAGATACATTTTGACTACTTTTTACTATTTAGAATTTTTATTCATATTTTATATTATAAGTTCTTTATAGTCATTTTACACAACCTCTCATATTAAAAAGCACTTCTAATAGTTTTACAGCCAAATACTCAACTGCTTTTTTTGAAAAGCATTTATCTAAAAGCTCAAGCCAAAAGCTGTTTCTGCAAAAGCTACAGCAGGGTCAAACTAAGCTCATGTCAAAACGGTATCAATTGATGTTTATGATATTATGAACAAGATTCACATGAATTTGTACAAAAATCATTTAAGATTTACTTTAATTTGAATGAGGGTTTAGGAATTTAGGGTTAGAGTTTAGGTTTACAATTTGGGATTCAAAATTGAAGGTTAATGTGTTAGGGTAATGGATAGATTAGTTGTGATTCTATCTTATGTCTAACATTTTTTTATCCATGAAAAATACTTGTGTTGAAATGTAGTTGATATACGACCTTTGAATTATATAACAACAAATTCATCGACATGGTTGATATCTTGACGACAAAGTTCAAAACGAGAGTTTGAAGTTTTTTATGGATTTTTTTTTAACTAGCTATATTAAATTAATCCTGCTATGGATAAGTTGTAGAGAGAAGATACAGTTGTAGTGTAATATGTTGGTTTTGTTCCATTTCTCTTATTTATAGCTGAATGGCCTGACCACCGCCTTAGTAATTGAAGACTTGGTGAGTGCTTGAGGACTTGTTTTGGTTCCTAGTTGGTGTCGGCTTGGTGCCCTGCCCTCGGTGTCACATTTGGTCGGTGTTGAGCTTTAATTGAAGTCTTTTCATACTGATGAGTTTCCTCGCTATATATTCTCGTCTTGCCAACAACGTACATTAACGAAATCACCTCGTTGGCTAGGGAAGGGATCGCTACCCACCTTGATGAGATCCTGTCTAAGAAAATGACCTTCCATGGCCTCTATCTCATTTCCAACTTTAACTTCTTGAAGAGTTTGACACAGCCATCCGAGTTTTCACATAACCATTATACCAACCGCTTTGTCAGCTGAGCTGAGCTGGTTATTCAAGGTCAAGGGTGGCTCCAATACGAGCTAGTCACCAAGCCCAAAAAATCACTACTTCAAGCAAGACCTAACTTAAATAATTTAATTCTTAATGCTCAACTGGCCTATCAAGTCATTAAATTATTTAACATGGTATACAAGGTTACTCTCTCGGTATGCCTTCGAGAGAGTTAGTAGGCTTATTTGTTATATATTTAGTGTCAGCTAGACATAGAGTTTTGACACGACTTGCCAATCGGATTGAGACGATAGATAGTTACCACTCCACTTTTGTCATGTCCCGTCAGTTCTCTGCATTTAATTTTGAGCGTTTGTCAATATGCTTCAACTCTATCTTTCCACTTTTCTTAAATCATTAATGAAGTTTTAATAAAGTGCAAGAGTCCCTCTTTCAATTAATTAGACTTACTTAATTACACGAGTATTTTAAGAACGCTACCCTTTATTTCTAAAAAAATTAAACTATAATATTTTCTTTTTTCCCTAATAACATTAGAACGATCAATTCACCCTAACTTTATATCTACCTATGTATTACTCAACCTAACTCAGATTCATAAAACCCGATCACGCCCACC